TCTTTATGCTAAAATTTCTCCAGTGAAAACTGCTACCTGCCCAGTTCTTATTCTGAACGTGCAAGAGAGATGTATTCATGAATATAATAGGCAATCATCTTTTCTTTACATTACTTCCTGTTCCTTATCCAAAAAGTAAGAGAGTGAAGGAAAAGGATCTGGTCTAATTTATCAGGCTTGAGATAATGGTAAAACAGTATGCAGCCTGTAGTTTCATGCTGTCTGTGTCTTTGCCATATGCTGTTCAGCTGTGCCAGATATATTGGGTTATACATCATATGACAGCTAATATTTTTGTAGCACTGATTCATTTAGACGTTCACTTTCAGAAATGTGTTAGTACTGTTGTCTGATTTTAATATGGGTGAAATACAAATGCAATTTAAATTAGTTAAACATAGTTACCAGTAAGTAATCTTACGGGTCCTTTAAGTCATACTTGCACTGTACCTCTTGATGATCAGTATTTCTTTTGATTCCCCTACTTAAAAGGAATTCCACGAACAAAGGGATATATTCTATCTGCCTGCATCAAACCAAGAATTCATTCTCCTTCATTTAATTTTTGTCTTGTAATTTCAAAGCATACTTTAGGATATAGAATTTTCTTAGCTTTTATGTGACCATTAGGTGACTTCTATTTAGGAAAGAATGGAAAGCAATATTATGACTGAGTGATGAAAAGTTATAAGACTATGCATTTTTAAGCATTAAGACCTTGATTCATAGGTCTTTGCTCTACAATAATATGTGATAAGTATGAAATATTTTTAATTAAATACTTAGTCTTGTGATTCAAAGATCCTGGTTTTAGCTTTGGTGATTCCATGGAAAAACAAAAAGTAATGTCTTACCCTCCCTGCTCTAAAAATGAAATTGTTTTATGTACTTAAAGTTATTTGTAGGAATTTAACAGTTATTGTGCTGGAGGTGATTATGAAAAATACCTGAAAGTAACATAGTAAACTAGATGGGACCAGTCAAGACTCACTATAAATTCAATTCTGTTTAATATTACTAGATAGATGCTTTGGTATAATGAAAAAGCAACTTCAAATATCATCCCTCTAACCCATTTTTTTCTAATAAAGTGCAACTTTTCTGCTTTCTTTTATTTTGTAATAAATTGTATTGCTTTCTAGAAAATAGAGCTTAAATTAAAAATGTCTTGAACTCTTGATGTTCAAGTCTTTACTAAACATGAGTTTTAAGTTATTTTTAAAGCAAAATACTATGAGAGAGAAACTAACAGGTTTTTGAATTGAGAGCTACTTAGAATAGTGGAAGATTTGTTTTTAAACATATATTCTCAGCAGGTGTAAATTGAGTCAATTTTTACAGAATGTGCTAGATCTCATCTTTTAAGAAAGAAACCAGAAGCACTGTGTGACAGAATTTATGGCACTGAATGTAGTTCATGAGCACAAAACCATTTATCTACAATCTCATTTAAAGTTGTCTAGACTGAGCCCTGTGGCTGTCTATTAGTGTATCTTTACTAACTAGAGCTATAGAAACTGCTCTAGGTTATTAGGAATTAGTCATTTATCTCTCGCTAAGTTTCTCTG